CAGTGGCATGCGGTAGTATTTGGTGCCCCAGAGAAACGAGTCTTATGCCGCATGGAGATGACCTATGGCTGTGTCAGAAAAAGCCTAACCTTCTCCTGAGAATTCTCACTGTATGAATCAGAACTGGATTGAGATCAGTCTCGACCGTATAAACGCGTCGGCATTGTCTCGATCGTACTGGATACGTGGGTGTCAGAGTAAAAGTGCAGAATACGAGGACCTAATTTCTAGCAAGTCCTCCATCGCCACCCACGTAAGCCCCATTCTGGACAAGTGTCTGGACAGTGGGCAACCCCATAAATACCACATGTTTTATTCCATACTGAACTACGACCACATTGAGCTGGTGGTACCAATAAAGGCTCGCACCGTTTTTTCCAACTGTCTTTTTACTGGAATCGTTGGGATACACATTGTTAGACCAGATTCAGCGATAGTTCGGCAAGACAGGCTGGAAGTGTTAAAAACAGTCAGAAATAAATTGCTAAACTAAAGGGGGATATTTCGACTGTCTTTTCTCTCTTTATAATTCTTTTTCAAAGACAGTTACGCGATCCGATGCTATTCCAGTGTTTATTTGTGTAATCTACATAATACTTCGAGTAAAGTGAGACCCAAATGCAATTCACGGAAAATAGAAATCATTGTTCTCGAAAAACTGCTTCTTCTCGATCCACTTTTGTTTGAGTGGTTTAACATCAGGGGAATATGAGAGAGTAGCAAGGGGGAATCATTTTACCATTCAGAATTGACAATTTTCCCTATTTTTCTATATATTATTATAAAATAGAAAGTTTCAGCTTTTCGCACCAATAAGGGTTCGTCTTGCACCACCAGCCATGCTCGCCCCTGATTGGTTGGTTTCCCCAAAACTGTTAACTGTGGAGCCATATTACAAGGTCACTGATGGTGGACAGATAAACTGTTCATAAACAGATGACATGTTCACACAAATTGCCTTTGGGTCGAGCTAAGTATTCAACTTCGCATGAAAGTCTGCTTTCCTTCTGCTACTCGGTTGGAGTAGTATAATTGAGTAGTATACTGTTGGACGTATTCTCGTGGTTTTCGTGTGGTCCCAGCGTCGTTTCGCTTTCGACTGCATGGGTCTAGACTATCGTCTTTCGCTTCAGTATTCTGATTCCACGGGTTATATCAAAACGAAGACAAAATAACTATCTTGTTAAGGAAACTGTCATGTTACAACACATGTCTGCGTAGAGATTGTAACTTTTGGCAATCCCTTTCTCTATAAAAGGGTGTCATCTAATAACTGATACAAATTTGTAAAATATTTACAGTCCTGACAGTTTTGTAAACAACAGTGTTCAGTATTGTTTTTGCAGCTTGGTCAGTACAACTTGATGTTCAGTTGTTCACTGAGTGTGGAAATTGCATTGCAAACGTTTCATCACCGATCGGGGTAATTATTACTGCATTGAAGATATCACTTCGATTGGTGATGAAACAACTGCAGTACAATAGCCAAGCTCGGCGAACAACTGAAAATCGTATAAAGTCCTGCTTAGTTCAAAAAGACCGCAACAGGAGGGAGAAAAACTTTTGTGATGGAAGTGGTATACGAGTTATAAATGAACCACATCGATGAATTACATCCTATCTGTCACGTACCACTAACACTTGAAGAAGACCTCACATTTTTGTCAATGTCATCCACTACCCCTCGGTGGTTCCACTGCTCCTCTTCCTCCTCCATCCCGTCCTCTTCCTCATCCTCTGCTATATCTTCTTCATCCCCGTCTGCCTCACCGAGATCATCATCGAATTCCTCGTCACTGTCTGTCCTATCCCCATCACGATGATCCTTGGTTCGTCGTCTAGCCAGCACCTGAATGTGACTAGATACTTGTTTTCTTGTACGGGTTTTGCCAGTTCGCAATTTGATGTAACGAGCAATGAGTTCATTCCGACCTGTTTTCATTGTTGGAATGGGACAGCAACACGACAATAACAATAATGATAATAATAATGCTGATAATAATGATATTATTCATGATAATATTATGACCTCGACAATCCAAATCCAGGTTGATTAGTAACTTACAGCATTCTTTCCTGGCACGCTCGAATACCAGACTGACTATACCAGAGCATAGAAGAACAACTTTAGGTTTCAAAATCGAGTATTCACTGAATCACCCTTGAAGCTGTTTCCTTCTTCCCGTTATACGGGTGTTTGAGTATTTTCCTGTATTAGGAATTTGATCATTTAGCGTTCTGTTTTTACATGGGCTGGGAAAGACTGGAAGAAGCCATTCGGTGGTCTGATAATGATTCCGTTTAGGTGTAAGAGGCTAGCTCCGTCATTGGTTTTATTAGAGGTTTGCCACCTTCCCGGTTGAGAACCAAGATGTGAGGACTTTAGTTGGCTAGAGAAGCTGGATGATATGACTTAGCATTCAAATCAAGGGTGTGAGTTCTGACTGCTGAGTTTCCGCACCTCACAAATACAGTGAAGAATGAAACAGTGAGACGAAGATCAAAAAACTATAGTCAATCTTTTGTGACAGCATTTCTCTCCCATTTGTACCCTGATTACTTCAGCATTTTCTATGTTGCTGCTGAATGAAAAGCAACAAAATATCCCGGAAACATACGGCAAGGCAGATTTTACATAGGACATGCACTGGACCTTCCTATCGCACTTTGTCACATGACCGCCGTGCCTGTATAAATGTGGACCGCCTAAATTTCTCGGATTTCCTGATCCATCATGGCTACGTACCTGATGAAAATGACCCATTTTATGCAAATTGCTCATTAATTCCGGAGCACAGAAATGGCCACGCTGATGCACAAACCTGTACAAGATCTCAACATTTCCCACATGTACGTATGCGTCCTTATGGTGAATGCAATGCGGAAAACGTTGAGATATTCGAAAGACTGTCATTTCTGTGTTCTTGATTGAATGGTTACATTGTACAGTAATTGAGCAGTATATTCTAATGCCTGACGGATTGAATACGTACTGTTTTTTTTTGGGGGGGGGGGTCAGTGAATGACTAATTAAACAGTCTTCCATGCTTTAAGAACTCACTCAGTAGTGATTGCCCTTCACCCTCTCAGATCCCGCTGATAATAAAAGTCCACCACTCAGTCCACCACTCCGTCCGGAAATTCGATGAAAATTTTTCGACTAAAAATAAAAAAGTGACTATGATTTCAAGGCTAAAACCTACCCCTATGATCCAGTATCAATAGTTTAAAACCGTTAAAAATTTAAAAAACAAGAGCCACGGAGTAACTGACCGTTACAAATGGTGAAAGTCATATTTCTGTAAAAAGTACAGCAGCCCTGTGCTGCGGGACACCGAAATCAATTACAGGTCCGTCCCTCCCTCTGTAAGGATAAACAGAACCAATTCGCGAGCCTATGAAGCAGCGTTTCTTTAATTGTTTAAACAGTCCCAGAGAGCACATTTCAAAAAGAACAAGGAGTGGCGAACAAGCTCGTGTTCAGTGATTCGTAGTCATGTCAGATACATCACAATAAATATTACGCTGTTTACACATAAATCAGTATTTAACCATAAAAACGCAAACAATTGTTTTGGGAAAGGGAAATAACTTCATGGGTTATCTGGGGCTAATTTCGTCTTGGAACTGGATGTGGAATTCTCAATGAGGACATAATTTTTAGGCCATCCGATCGTTGGGACCACTCGGAATATGTGGTGG